AAATCCCATGTGTATACCTTGAAGTGTACAAATAGGATTATCCAACAAATCGATTCAATCCAATTGACACCCTTTTACTCGCCTAGTTATGTAAATGGTGCACATTCTTGATTTAAAAAAAAAAAAAAAGTCTAAACTTACAAAATCAATTCTACTTTAAAGAAGCATGTTCGGCTAGCCCCATTTAGTTAAAAATTATATTTTTAGTTGATTTTGATGAAAGTTGATTAAGGGTTTATTTGATATGATTTTTTGCTTTTACTTTCTGTAAAAGATCTTTTGTAGTAATGTATCTTATAAATGTGTGATTGAAATTAAAAATGTTCGGCTAGCCCCATTTAATTAAAAATTATAATTTTTGATTGAAAATTAATTTTTAAAAGAGCTTTCTATCTTCAAGAGAAAGTTACATTGGACCAATTTCATCTAAAATTTCCTTATAAGAGGCACTTCATAAAATTAGAGAAATGGGTCCAAAAGCTCATCTGGACTTTTGAAAAGCCATGTTGAACGACCCTAAATGTGTGATTAAAAAATCGGTAAAAATTGTGATCTTATAAATGTTAGATTGAAATGAATTATAAATCATTAAATCATGAACATAATTTTTATCTAACGTCTCTTTCTTTTCTTTTTTTTTGGCAGGCTAAGTACGCATGCTTCTCCTCTCAAAAAGCACTTCAAAATAATCCTTCAAATTCTGATCTCCAGTTCCCTCTAAATTGCTCTATATGGATCCAAACCAATACATGCCCAAAATATTACCCAACCTCATACAAACCCTCCAATCCAAACCCCTTATTGAACCCGAAATGCCCAGAATTTTTTCGATGGATTCACGAAGATTTGAGGCCCTGGAGAGAGACAGGAATCACAACGGAAATGGTCGAAAAAGCACGCAAAACTGCCCATTTCAGATTGGTGATTTTGGATGGGAAAATTTATGTGGAGAAATTCAGGCAATCGATTCAGACAAGGGCTTTATTCACAATGTGGGGAATTTTACAGCTTATGAGGTGGTACCCTGGGAAATTGCCTGATTTGGAGCTCATGTTTGACTGTGACGACCGGCCGGTGATTCAAGCGAAACACTTCCAGAGGCCGGACTCTGGACCGCCGCCACTGTTCCGGTACTGTTCAGATTGGAAGAGCTTGGACATTGTATTCCCCGACTGGTCTTTCTGGGGCTGGTACTATGCTTCTCTAATCCTAACCATTTTAGTTCATGTTTGGCCTTAAGTATAAGTAAGAAAGGGTATCCTATTACTACAAAAAGTATAGTTAACTTGCTTTGAAGCCAGCATGAACATATGTTCGACGATGACGTATTCGTGCATGTTTTATTTGAAAGCTTCTTGACAAGTTAATTTATAATAATAATTTTGTCCTAAAATGGTAACTAAAAAATTCAAGAACATATATTTGGTTTTATTTTCTTGAAAAAATTTACTAAGACAAATGCTAATTTTTTGGGCTTTCAATGTTTCAATATAAGAAGCCCTTGGTTTGGAGGCCATTATTTACCAAAAACAATGTTTTGAATAGTGAATTTTTTTTGAGAATATGTGGTTAAAATTTTTTTTTTTTTGGGTATATGTGTAGAAATGAATGATCTTCTAAACATCGGTAACATGGTATACCATTTAATTGGTGAATCATTAAATACATGGACCTGTCATTAATTTATTCACCAATTAAATGTTGTGTCATGTTATCGGTGTTTAATATAAACTAAGTACTGGGTTTAGGAGATCATTTCCGTATGTGTAGAATATTTTATTGTGCGAATGTGTGATTGAATATAAGTATATAGAGAAAAGAGTTTTAATTTAAAGGCATATAGATTTAGGGTTCGTAACAACACTGCACAATAAAAAAGCCAGTATTTTCACTTTCTTTTCTTCTCAATCATATTGAGTGTGCCAAACATATCAATGATGTCCTAAGATTACATATATGTCCACCTTGACTTTCTCCATGAAAAGGATAGATGACGATTTTTGCCTAAATTTATGCAGAAAATATTATTTGTACAATAAAGAAACATGACTTTGAGGTCGATTGATGAATGAGTAATTTTTCTTATACATTTTTGTAGGGCAGAGACAAATATAAAGCCATGGAGAATAGTATTGAAGGACATGAGAGAAGGAAATAAGAAAACCAAATGGGAAGACAGAGTGCCCTACGCCTACTGGAGGGGAAACCCCAATGTGTGTCCATGGAGGGCTGATCTTATGAAGTGCAATGTTACTGATAAAAATGACTGGAACACCCGTCTTTACGTTCAAGTAAGTGTATTCATATTACGCTAAACACTAGAGGATCAAAAATAAGTTCATTAGAATCGAAAAGGAAAGAATACAGTAATCTAGAGGAGGATGTAAAGTTGAACGTTCGACATGTCAACATGAAATAAAGAAATACAAGACTAACGACATTCAAATTGACTTCTAGTAACTATACTATGACGACACTTCCTTCTAATTATGAGTGAAGATCGTCGCTTGCATGTGCTATACTTGATTTTCCAAGTTAACGACTTTGGCATAGAGGTCGGAAAATGCACATTTTTTGTAAACGACTTGATCTCCATACCCAAGCTGTTAACTTATGTATTGTCCGCTCTAGAAGAACATCTGCTCTCTTATTGGTACAGGGCATCTTTAGGTTAAAGTTTAAGATCAAAAGCTTATATATATTATTTTTCAATTATGTTTCAGGATTGGGATAAGGAAGCCAAAATAGGGTACAAGCAATCAAATGTTGCAGACCAATGCACACACAGGTCGAAACTCCTATTTAAATTCTCTCTATATGTTATTTGTTTGTCGCACTAGAAATTTAACGTGAATTTATTTGCATTTGAAAGTTCTGTGTCCATTTCCTGCAAAAACAGTTAAGAAAAGAAAATCAAAGTTTTGGAACCTAAATACGCTTTAAATTCTCTAATAACTAATAGTTCAAGTATTTAAATTAAATCAAGTGGCTGTGCCATTCAATAATTACACTTATGTTTAAATTTTGATGTAGGATTAAATAATTCTCTCATGTATAATTACGTTTATAACTTTCATTTGTCTTTTTTAAATTAGCCATGTTAATTTCGAATATTATTAACTATAAAGATTATGTATTTCAGATACAAAATATACATTGAAGGATGGGCATGGTCTGTTAGTGAAAAATATATTTTAGCCTGCGACTCGCCCACATTGCTAATGACACCGCGTTGGCATGATTTCTTCATAAGGGGCATGATTCCACAGCAACATTATTGGCCAGTTAGGGACAATGACAAATGCAAATCTCTAAAATTTGCTGTTGACTATGGTAACAATCATACTCAAAAGGTAATTTTTTTTTCTTGCACCACCACCTAAAAAAGATTACAAAAACCACGATAGCCATTGATCTCATTATAATTTGGTACGATATATTTGATAGATAAACTGTAGTGGACAAGATTAGGCAGGATAATAACTTTGGTCGTATTTATCTCTTCTTTAGTTTTGTCTAGTCGCTTAATTGGCAATATTTGTTCCACACGAGTACAGGTGCCATGATCTGTTGAAGAAACACTTTAGTACACTAATTATACGAATATTTCATTTCTCGAGTTATAATACTATTATTTTTTGTCTTTGGGTTCTGAATAGATATTTGCATTACCTTTTATGTTGAATATGTAGCTGGTTTTATAACTTTTCATCTCTTTTTATCCAAGGTAGTCATTGTATCAAACTGAACATAATTGGACACAATTAAGAAAAATGAACACTGTTTAGTCCTATTGAGTTTACTGTACTAAACATGCCAATTATATTTTAGAGACTCGAAAGTATATTTAGTACGCATAACTGGATCATACAATGATTCATTGAGACCTAGCTTCTTTTTCATCTTAAGCTCATGTTTGAGCCACATTCTAGAAAAAAAAAAATGCATTATTCATGTCAAATCAATGGGAAATGTGTGGTTAAAAAATAAGGAAAAGTTTTATATTTGCATGTAATATTATTTTATTGAAAAATGTGTGATTGAAATGATGTCAAATCACTGTTGAAGAATATATTTTTTTGAAAATAATGTGGCTCAAACAAGCCTTTAATATTGTTCATTATTGACGAAAACTTATGTGCTTTTTTCAATTTTTTTTAGGCAAAGGCCATTGGAGAAGCCGGGAGTAGCTTTATCCACAACGATCTAAAGATGGAAAATGTATATGATTACATATTTCATCTTCTAAATGAGTATGCAAAGCTCTTTAAATACAAACCCACAATTCCTCCAAATGCAATGGAGCTTTGTGCAGAAGCAATGGCATGCCCTTCATATGGGATATGGAAGGAATTCATGGAATTATCCTTAGAGAAATCTCCAAGTAATTCTATTCCATGCACAATGCCTCCACCATACGAGCCCCAAGAATTGAAGTCTTTTATTGATGCAAAGGTGAAGTCTACTAAGGAAGTTGAGGGATGGGAGAACGAGTATTGGGAGAAACAAATCAAGAACAAATAAACCTTTTTTTTTTTTTTTAAATTCTATTTGCTAATTTTGTATTTTTCTTGGATTTTAATGGAGGTTAGAGTAAGAGCTTGTTTGATTTAGATTAAAAATTGATTTTAATTTTAGTCAAAGTTAAATAATCAATATTAACTATATCTTTCATGAGTCATACAACTTTTTAATCACACATTTTAAAAACTTCTATTACAATCTACTAAAAAATCTAATTTTAATTCTTACGAAATACCTTCTAAATGGGATATTGATTATCTATTAATTAATTGTATTTGACCTTTAGAATAGATTTTGAGAAATCAGTTAATTAAAACAAACCATAACAATACATGCTTTGGAGAGGGTGTTGAAGAGGAAAACAATGAAATAGAAGGACACTCAATTTTGATCATATAATTCAATTTCAAATTTAATACCCGTTCAACCTTTTTAATTTCAGAATTCAAATGATATAAAATATTCATCAATCTGAGGTTAAGATTTTTACTATGCATCGAGAGACATAAAACTTAGAAAAAAAATTTATCTGCTTGCTTTCCTCTATATATTATAGTTTTTCGAATTTATATTATGGTTTTTACAATTCGATAAAGTCTCCTTTTTTTTTTTTCTCTTCATGTGTTTGTACCCATGGAAAGAGTATCGACTATGAGCTTTTTGATGTATTTTATCTGCTTTGATAGTACGTCGTGATGGGAAGACCGCCCTGAGTTTAGGGCAACCATCCCTGACGTGACCGTTGGACATGTTTGGTAAGTGATGTCCAGATCCCTAGGCTATGATGAAAAATTGAGGCCCTTTTAACTTCATAGGCTATAAGTTCAAGATTGTAGAATTAAATTCACATCACAATTGAAGTAGTCCAATTATGTTAGGTATTTAGAGGTAATCAGCCTATTGAGCTAGATGCTCAATATCCAACTTGAAAGTAATTTGAAAATCACAAGAAAGATAGATAAATATAATCGTTATCTTTCTTTAACCACTTTATCTCGTCTTGAGCTTTATCTTTTAGTTAACATAATCTTGTAGTTTTTTATTCGTCCTAATTTTGCAAGATTTTTGGGAAATCCATTTTCCCCCATGAGCCTATAAATTGGAGTCTTTACTCTTTATTTTACTCACCAAAAAACAAGAAAAAATCTCCTCCTGCTTAGTGCAAACACAAATCCTCCTCTGCCTTCTTTGTGAATTTGTCTTTGTGACTGATAATGACCTTCAAATTGGAGATACTTTTGTGGTGTGGATCGAGTTTCTGAGCCTAATCAAAAAGGGGAAAATCGTTCTTCAATTTTCAGATTTTTGGTTTTGATTTTTTTGAAATAATCTCTACAAATCCTTCACTAATTGGTTATTTGATTCAAATTGTAGGTGTGTTTGCTTCACAATTGGTATCAGAGCTTGGTGGTGGTGAAAATCCGCCAAAAATTGACCAAAACTCGGCAGAAATCAAAAGAAACGGATTGCCCAATTTTTTGCACAAAAAACTGCACCTGCAAACTCGATTTCCCGGCAATCCAGATGTCCATTGATGAAATGAAGATCGGGCTTGAGACGTGCAGGTGGAGGCGATGCTCAGTGTGTGGCGCATGTTCCCGATGACGGTGCATAGAGGCTCTAGCAAGGGCTCGTGAGGGCACGTGGCGTCGAATTTTGAGGAATTGTCTTCAGGTAGTTTGTTCCTCACATTATTTCTGACATTTTTCGTGTTAGAAGTTTTCTGTTTCAGGTTACAAAGAAAAAGTTGGACGATTTTGCCCATCGACGGTTGAAATTGCTACATATTTACTGAATTACTTTAGGCCAAAATTGCTGCCTTAAAGCAGTAAATTTGTATCTCTCATAATTTATGGACTTAGACAAGTCCACTCTGATAAATTGGCTGAAACTTTACATTGTCGCACTAGCAAATCATCGTGTAGGGTGATCATTAGAATTGAGGGTTGTCATTGCTTGGCAACCATTGCTTGTTGATAGAACCTAGAATTACTTGCCATTATCTGTTTAATTTTCTAAGTGAAATTATTTATTCGTCATTAGATTAATTTGTTGAACGTCTTTTTGCGTTATCTCGTATTATTTTAGACTTGTACCCAGACTCCTATTCTAGTTCTTCCCTTAATCTGAGAACTCGATTCTCATGAAACCCTGGTGTTCTAGGATAGTGCATTATTGTGAAACCATAGGAATCTTGTTACCTTGTATAATCTGTGTGACATGTGACTTTTACATATCTGAATTTGTATTCTGTGCATTTTTTGGTAAAATATCGACACATCGCTTTGAGTTGGGTGTCTTTAATGGTAAATGAGATTTTTCAATTTGGTAACAAAAAATGAAAGGTATTCTTGTTCAACAAAAAGTTTCCAAAGTTATTGATGACTCTTTTCCTACAAACTTGACTAATGAAAAAAAAGAGAATATAGATGAATTGATATACACTTCTATAATATTACACTGTCTAATGCGGTATTAAGAAAAGTTGGTAAATTAAAATCAGCTCAAGAACTTTGAAAAAAATTGGAGGAACTTTATGTGTCTAAGTCAACTTCAAACAAACTTTTTTCTAATTGAAAGCTTTTTTAGCTTCAAAATTGATTCTTCAAAAGATTTGGATTATAATTTGGATGTCTTTAATAAATTCGTGCAAGATATCACTAACTGTGGTAAAAAAAATCTGAAGAATATAAGGCAAAATGCTATCCCTGAAGCTTATAGAGAAGTTAAAAATGCTATTAAATACAGAAGATAACTTTAACACCTAAAATTGTCATAAACTCGTTAAGAAGTAAAGAAATGGAAATACGAGCCGAGAGAGTCGAAAGAAAAAGTGGTGAGGTTCATATGATGAGAGGTAGGTCTCAGTCTAGGACCCGTGATAACCAAAGTGGATACGCGTCTATTAGTAAAAAGAAAAGTAGAAGTTATCTAGGTCAAAAAGTAAAACTAAAGGTAGAAAGTGCTATGGGTGAGGTAAAATTGAACGCTTCATTAAATATTGTTATGTTGAGAAAAACAAACAAAAGGAAAAGGTTCACGATGAGGCAAATGCTATTATTTCTTTTGATGAATTTTGTGAATTATATGTGTTATTAAACTCTGAACCTACTGAAGTAAATTTGACTGTGAAATCACATTTAAATGAATTGATACTTGATTCTGATGCATCATTTCATGTTTCGTCACATAAAGACTGGTTTGAAAATACGCAAGAATCTGAAAGTGGTCATGCTATTTTGTGCAGTAATCATGCATATAAAATTGCTAGCATTAGTGAAATCACGTTGAAATTTGACACTAGTTATTTGCTTAAACTACATAGAGTCAGATATATTCCTGAAATCGCTAGAAATCTTATTTCGATAAGAGCATAAGAAACTAATGGTTTTACTGGTAAAATTGAAAACAACATGTTTAAAATAATTAAGAGTGATCTTTTCACATGTAAAGGTACTAAAAGAAATGGTATTTATGTGACCACTGTTGAAATTGTTAAAAAGTCAACTTTCTTTATAAATTTGACCAACATCGATGACACACGCAAGTTGTACAATAGATTAGCTCACATAAGTATTAAAGGACTTAAATTGCTAAATGATAAATGTGTATTTGGAAAAGACTGTGTCTAATATGCCTTTTTGTGATCACTGTGTACTTGGTAAATATCATAGGTCATCTTTTTCGTCTGGTATGCATAAAATTACTAAAGTCTTGGAATATATTCATACTGATATATGGAGGCCTACTACTAATCCTACAATGGGTGGTAATATATATTTTATGTCCATAATTGATGATTACTCTCGTAGGGTTTAGGTTTATCTGTTAAATGATAAAACTGAAACCTTAAAAATTTTCAAAATATGGAAATTGCAAATTGAAACTCAAACTGACAAAAAGACAAAATATCTAAGAACTGATAACGGCCTAGAGTTCTGTAATAATGATTTTGATGATTTGTGTGAAAAATGTGAAATTACTAGACATAAAAGTATTCCTTATACACCTCACCAAAACGAGGTGGTTGAACGTATGAATCATCCTTTACTTGACAAAGTTAGATGTATGATGTTGAGTTCTGGAATTCCTACATCTTTTTGGAGTGAAGCTGTTATCACTGCGTGTTATCTGATTAATTTGACACCTTCTACTGCATTAAATGGTGATACTCCACATGAAAAATGGTATAGTAAATGTGCTGACTATACTGTATTGAAAACTTTTAGCTGTGCTGCTTTCTTTCATCAAAATGAGGGAAAACTAGAACTTAGAGCTAGGAAATGTGTTTTCTTAGGATACCCTGAAGGAGTTAAAGGGTATAGGCTTCGGGATAGAAGTCAAAATGAAGTTAAGATCATCATAAGTCGTGATATTACATTTAATGAGTCTGAACTGCCGTGTCTAAAATCAGAACGTAACACCTTGAGAGAAAAACAACAAGAAAACATTAGTGACGAATTTCAAGTAAATTTAAGGTCCTTAAGTGTTCAAACCCCCACCACCTCAATCGATAATCAGAGTGAAAATACTGAGAGATATGAAGTTATAGAGGAATATCAAGTAGAGCAAAACCCTTTGTTTGATTACCAGTTAGCTAGAGACAGAGTTAGAAGAACGCATAGGGTGCTTCAAAGGTTAGAGTTTGATTTTGAACTTGCTTATGCTAGTTATAAAGAACTAGTTGATAGGGAACCAAACACGTATGAAGAAGCCTTGAGGAGTGAACAATCTGGGAATTGGGTGAAAGTGATGAAAGAAGAGATAAATTCCCTTGATAAGATTCAAACATGGGAATTAGTCCCAAGACCTAAAGACAAGTCTATAATTGGGTGTAAATGGATTTTTAGAATTAAGGAGGGAATTATCGAAGGAGAGGGTTTAAGATTAAAGCTAGACTTGTGGCCAAGGGTTACACATAAAAGGAAGGGGCAGATTATAATGAAATATTTTCTCCAGTTGTTAAGTATACCACAATTAGGACTACGCTTGCATTAGTTGTACCTTTCAATTGGGAACTTGAACAACTTGATGTTAAAACTATCTTTCTACATGGAGAATTTGATGAAAAGATTTTTATGGATCAACCTAAAGGTTT